GTAAATTTAAAAACAAACCCGAAACTTTCATTTTGCCCTCAAAATTTATAGCTGAGCCAAACTATAGACATGACACAAACTTCCTAGAAATACTAAATCTAAAAATGATAGAAAAAGGAAAAAGGAAGACATAAAGCAAGGGTAGTCTTTGGAAAATCCAAATTCTAAACCCTTGTTTGCCATGAGTCTACCATGTACAACAAAAGTATCCAACTCAGATGATTCTGTTCATGAACCCAATCACTTTTTACCAACTGGAAGAGTCGGTTTTTTAGTATGTACAATCTCCATATCATATTTTCCTGATGGCGTAGAAGTTCAACTGACCTTTGAAGAAAGCTTGTCAGAATTAAAAAATGCCTTGGCAACCTCAGAAGGCATGAGCTCAGCGGCACTTTTAGGTGCTAGAGCTGCCACCTTGAACTTAGATGCCTTACTTTCTCCCGTGTTGTGATCTAGGCTTCTCCCTGGAATATGCAACACAAAAGAATCTTTCTCCACATCTTTGATTTCAGCAGGCCGACGCACATACTCATCCTTGGTAGGAACATCCTCATTATTATGTACAACCCCACCAATAAAAAGTTTCACATCCAAATCTCTTTCATCTTCTATGGTATCACTACCTTCTCCTAGAGTGACCTCATCAGACTGAATTTCATCCAAATTATCCACTTCGTCTTCAGAATTCTCATCAGAATCTGACGAGTCACTATTTTCTTGCTTCAATTGGTTCACAGAATTGTCATCCTCTCTCACTTCCTTGGCAATATCAACATCCATGACTTTAACTTTCAGTCCTGGAATTTTTGTCTTAAGAAAATTTAAAACACTTTTTATCCCCTCCTCAGTTGCTCCCTCAATATTAATGCCCTTCACCTCGCTGCTCTCTGCCTTGCCTTCATTTTTCTGTACATCTACTACGGTTGCACTCTCAAGTTCGGAAGTTGATGAGCCTTTTTCAGGTTTGGATGGTGTAACAGCGGAGTTTGTTGAACTTCCTTTGGGTAGGTGTAAGTACACTACCTGCAACAGATATGATATCAGAAGACCAGAGAGGGAGGGAAAGAGTTTTACACAAACTGCATTAGACAGGTGAAAGATAGTTCGTTTGAAAGATCTGTATTTACCTGCATAACGTATGTCCCATCAGCATTTTTTACCACAAAAATTTCAAATATGGGACTTCCCGGTGATGCTTCAACCAACTGTCTGCAACAAATAACAAATCAGTAGTTTTCTCCAGTAGATGAAAAACAAATCAAAACCCAAAAGATCTTACCTTGGACTGTAACTCCTCCCAATAAATCTGCCCACACCAGGAGTTATTCGTATTAGCCTTCCAAAAGGATCATCTGAATCTTTTGGGTACCCAACCCACCAACCTACCTGCAGATACAGAGAGAACCATTTAAAGGACACAGCGAACATTTACCACAAAGCAGGCCTAATTAATAAGGCCTATCAATAAAATTCACATATCTTAAAGATGCCAGGAAAAAACAAACTAGGCACATATCTCTGACTCACGCTTCAAGAGCCAAAGGTAAACTCATCTTTTTTCGACAAAAAAGGAAAAGAAAAAGGCTTTATCATGCATAGGATAAAACTGGAAGGCAGCAGGATGTAGGTGATGGTAGAAGCTGCCTCCAACAAAGGTGTATTATATGATCAATCATAAATGTAATAATTTCGTCCCCTCAACACTTTTTGGAGTCCCACCAAAACTTCCATGACTGCCAATAAAATTCATGTACAAAGGATGACCTGATATATCTAATTTCTTCCAATGAAATACTTTCAGTATTTCAACTAAGCGTGAAAAGGAAAAAAGAGTAAAAGCTGGCTATTTCAGCCAACAAATAAAATTGAGTTGTGAAGCCATGCTGTTAGAAATTGGAAGATAATATATAAGCCAGTAGCATGTGGGAAGATTACCAGTCCGCTTCCTGTGTGTCTACACAACCTTGAAGCATCATGGTAACGCTCTTCCTCAATCGCATTCTGCAAACATACAACACACCAGGTAAACAAACAGACATTGATGTGAGCAAGTACACAATTACAAAAGCATACATGCTCAACTAACCTTCAATTGAGACATGATCTCAGCAACAGTGTCGTTTGATGTAGCTTCTGAAATAGACATTTTCAGTTTTGTAGCTTCCTGGAAATCTTCCTTCTCAATTGCATCTTCAAGTTGAAACTGCTTATAGCATCATGCCATAAAAAAAAAAAAAATAAAAAAACGCTTGTAATTTGTATACGTGTGGTTATGTTCAGTTGCGTATGATTCTTTGTACTGGTACATGGTTGTATCCACAGTGAACAGACCCAAGCAACCGAGACTCCAGAAAAAAAAACAATATTTGCACTGGTACATGGTTCAACTGAAAGTAAGAAATGGTAGATGGAGCAAATTTTGTACCATCGGTCCATCACTGACTGCCATTTGACAATTTAGCAACTTAAAAAATTCCGTGAAACTTGCTAATCTACCGAGAACAGGGGAACAAACTCTCCACGTCTTCCCAAATTTCTCATGTAATTCAAACAATGCAAAGTAAATCTTAAATTTCTCAAGAACCAAGTTCCAAAATTTGTTTTGACATTTCGCAGCTGTCTTGAAACAAGGTCCAAAAGGGTGACTAATGTTCTATAAAACCATGAGAAATGGTAGCAAAAGGCAGACGGATTTAAATAATTATACGCTCAACGAAGAAGAAATTAATGAGCATGATCAATGATATATAACAATCAAAGGCTACGAACTTCAAATAAATTCAGCTTACTTTTGGATATAGGAACTTGGCAATTCAACTAATAGATTAGTAAACATAACTAATATTCAGCAACTGGAAACTGTGCATTGAAAAGTAACAGAATTCCAAATAAATTAAGAAACAATTATCCAAAACCAAAAGCGCTTCTTACGACGTTTGACATAACTTGATTCTGATAAAAGTACTTCTAGTAAAAGCCGAACTAGAATTTCTGCCCAAACAATACTACTGACAAAAACTGAAACTTCGATGCAATTAGCAACTGAGCAAAAAAGTACACAAAACCCACATACCTTGAGAACAGAGACGAAGCTCTCGGCCTGTTCGACGTCGGAGAAATGGCGGCTCCACCGATTCCAATCCCATTCCAAAGACGACCCAATACAGTCCTCACTGTAAATGTTGCTCTCACTGCACCGGCAGCACAAATTCGAGCTCTTTCGACTCCTGCTACTACTCGAAGACGAAGAAGGTGAGTGCTTGGTCTGGACAGAGCAGCCCCAACTGAGAACAACGCTCAGATTGTTATTGGAAGTGTTGAATTTGGACCTGGTGTTGGGTAAGAAGCCGGAGCAGCAATTGGGTCCGAATTGAGGCAGTGGGATTGCTTGTCCCACGCCCCACCCATTGGCCACCGCCATCTCTCTCGCCATCTCTCTGGTTCTTTCTCTTCCCCACAATTATCTGTGTGGTGTATTTTGTGGGGAATTAGAGAAACGAATATCTTCCGAGTTTTTTGCGTTGTCGCAGTTGGTGACGAAGATGAAGACTGGAAGAGATATATGGATAGAAATCGTATAATCGCCGCCTTAAATGTTTTGCAATCACAGGCAAATCAGGCCCACAGATTTGTGGGTTTTTTTTGTAGTGATTAAAATTTTAAATCATATTTGTAAAATAACATGTAATTAATAAGAAATAAACACATAAATTGATAATCAATAATTTAGTTATCAATTTTCATGTCCTTTACTTTACAAGATTTGTATATAAATTTAGCACCTAGCATTACCTCTCTTTTTGCATACGGAAGGGAATGTTTTTGTTCATCGCCATCAAGTAATGGTGATGTTGTTCTCCTTATTTATTATTATTAGATGAGTTTAATTTTTGAAATCTATACAATGGATAAATCTTAAAATTTGAATCCATCCAAATATGATAAATAGAGTGTCGAGCAATGGGTTAAATTTTGGTTAGATTTGTTTAGTCTTTTGTAAACTTGTCATTAGATGAGTTGAAAAAAATTGTTTCTATATGATAAGAATGTGCATCTTTCAACACGAGTGAGGATTCTCACCGGATCATCTTTGTGGGGATCTCAAGAATTCTCACATTACATCCGTTTATCGTATATCATGCGGTAAAAATTATTGTAATTTTTTTTTATTTAAAATTGAATACACGCATAATGTATAATGAACGGATGTGATTAGAAGATTCTCAAAATCCTCACAAAGAAGATCCGGCGAGGATCCTCTCTTTCAACCCAAGAATCAATCTTTTGACCCACCCACTTCTCTCTGCCGGTTGCCACATGTTAGATGTGCCAACAAGACATAGGAAGGGGACCCTCTTCTGAACATTTTCTCCTAATCCACCAAAATAGTGGATCCACATCATTAAAATTTGATCTAACGGTTGATGTTATTATAACTTTTAAAGTAGATCCTTATTTATAGCCGTTAGATCAAATTTCAATGACACAAATCTATTAATTTGACGAATTAGGAGGAATGATCCGAAGATGATCCATTTCCCAAAACATACAGCCGTGATTGTCTGTCAAAATTGGATGAGTGGACTACAAATTAAATTATCACAAAAGTTAGGTTTACACACGTACGTTAAGACGGCTGCAAAAATACGCCACGTGTACTGCCACTTGGCTTGTAATCTCCACGAGGGCCAAGGGCCCCCTTCAAATCAATTAATCTTTCGAATGAGAAGAGAAAGAAAAGACTTGCATGAAACGGAAAATAATAAAAGCGGCAGTGTTCTGAACTTATCAGACTTTGCCGTGTGTTTTAACTTTCTTATATAGAACAATATGATTGGTTTTGTACACCGGCAACGTAAAATGCTAAAAGCGGCAGTGTCCTGAACCTATCAGGCTTCGCCATGTGTTTTAGATTTCTTATATAGAACAGTATGACTGGTTTTGTACACCGGCAACTTGGCGTCGCCGTTTCATGCAAGCCCTCAAGAAGAGGAAAATTTCATGAAAGAGGTAGCTGCATTGGTTAACCGATCATATCCAGTTCTCATATCCATGAATATGTATATCCATCGTTACAATGAGAAACCATGGCAAAAAGCTTTAGACTTTCAGTAAGCAACAGCGATTGCAAAAGCATGCCGACCGATGGCGAGGTACACAGTTCTATACCGTTAACGCCTTCCCTCAGCATATGGGTTAGAAAATTCAGTTGAAATTTAGAAAATGTAAACCAGGAAGGATCCCCTATTGTTGTTGCTGTGAGGGGGACTCGACAACGACAATACGTTCAGTGGAAGGGACCGGCCTTGGGCTCGAAAGATCCCGAGTAGATGAGAGAGCAATACCCCCTTCCTCAGAAGTTTCCAAAGAAGTGTCTGCCTCATTGCCTGCACCTGCATTTTCAGTACAAACTGGGCGGAATGCTCCCTGCAACCTCAACAAATGCCTCTGATTGTCAGGTCGGGTTCTCACATACCGGTTGGCTGTCAACACACTGAGAGATGAACGCTCAGAGTCAGGACGGAGATTGGATATAGCACTAAGGTCGAGATTTGGGAAGACTGAGCAACGGCATCTGGGACATTTCACATTCAGTCGAAGCCACTCATCGATGCATTCTACATGAAAATTGTGAGCGCAAGGCAGGCCGCGAACCTGCAGAACTTCCTATAAGAATCTGTTGTTGAACTTTGTAATAACTGAGCCATTATCCGAAGGTAAAATATGTACGGGCAATCTGCTCATAAAATTGGGAGAGGTCGTCTGCATTGCTTAAACAATAAGCTATGCACTTGGTTCCTATTTTCTTAAAATTCTCTCAACATTTTACAGGGAGCCACAAAAGGGGTCCATTGATCCAATTCTTATATAAACAAAGATTTGACTTTTACCCGAGAAGCATGGAATAATTCAGATTAATGTGGTGTTTAAAGTAGGATAGATATTCATAAAAAAATTACCTCGTTGCCTACATGAAACTCTTCCAAGCAGATTGGACATTCACTGCAATCAGTTGGAACAGCCTTCAGTCTGAACTTTGGAAGCTCCTGAATGAGTGCTTCCACTGCTTCTCTCTGCAATACCAAGATACGAACGTCAACCATCAGAACTCAGAATTAAAATATCAAAAGTGAATTGACATAGACAACGAATAATTCACAATGGAAAAAAAGGACTGTCATTGAAGAGGTTAATTTTTCTTTTTAGTATGTCCCTTTATCACCAGTAAAGCACAACAATTAATAAACACTTTTATACTAGGCCTCTAAAGTCAAAGTGTGCTTGAGAGTTTTGAGACAGAGTAACGAGTATATACACACACAGGCATACGTGTCAGCAACACCCACTAGAATCCCTAATCTCCATTTTCTAGACATTGCTTTTGCCAATGCTTTAAGCATAGAATTCATCCAAAATGCTACTGCTTAAATAGCTTGAGTAACTACTATCATGAATTCAACAAAACAGCCGCATATAATTTTTTTTATATTACACATAATATGTTGTAAAAAGGGTGAAGATAACAACTAGACACAAAACTGAACAAAGCCGTGAATCTAAGGGCAATTAAGCAATTTCCTCAGCAGGAGAATTTTGGGGTGGGGGGTTACCTGTGCTTGAGTCAAGTAAAGTCCAGGTTGGTATGCAGCAGTATCTTGGCCCATCCCTCTTGTTTCTTGACCGGCAGCTTCAAATGCCCAATCTGGCACCCGAATCATATCAACCAAAACCTTAACAATGAGGAGAAATCATTACTAGGAATGATAGGAAGAAGTGGATCAACACAGAATAAAAGAGCTTTGAACGCTAATGTGCAATCAACAGCAAGTGGGCGTGTTACATGGTCAAAACAGCATTGTTATATATTGTCTATCTGGTACAAGAGCAATACTAGCATAAGCTAAATTAAGGAACAAAACACTAAGGGTATACATTCATAAATATTACAATAAGAAACACTTCCATGAAGGGGAAAAAGAACGTCTCAGGATTTACCCCATATTCTGACACAGGAATCCCTTGTTGAGCACGCAATAAGTGTGCCTCTCTTCGTGTCAACCACTGAAATAGAGGGGTTCCAAAACGAGGATTAGAACATCTCTGAATATGATTTTCTAATGAGCTCACATAGAATAAAGTCCTGGTTGAGTCTAAAAGATGGACAAGGACACAAAGTACCACTAACCTTCCCAAGCGACATGCAAGAAACGCAAAGTAGTGCACAGTAGCTAAAAAGCAACCAAATGAGAAAACCCCATTTGTGACCATTTTCAGGCAACTGCAAGCATTAAAATGCATTAGCACCGCCACTATTGTTTAAACTTTAAACACCACTATTCTGCCAAGAACTAAGATATATAACTTACACAGTCCTTCGATTTTTGAAACCACAGCGTACCGATTACTGTCCAAGTCCAAAGAAATGGATAGAGCAACAGAGAAAGAATCGAAAGGACCACTACTCTTCCGCAGAAACGAGCATATCTTTGCTGCCACCCAAGATCCCTAATACCATAACAATTCGAAGGGGAAGAACACGGTTTTGGAACCATTCGAACTACACAAATCGAACAAAGTACCAGGGAAACATTAACTAAAGATATGGACTTACAAACCCATTCCAGAGGCAAGCCCATTATCCACAAACATCAGCATCCGAAAAACAAACACAGCAGTGTAATCAACCTGACATTAAAGCCAAACACATATCTAAACAATCCCATATCAAACTTGCTGGGAATTCAGATAATATATATAAACCTACCACGATCCATATGTGCAACGGGAATGTACAAGTATGGTAACGCTTCCAATTAATTGCAACAATCACTCTGTTACCCAAACCGTTAAAGAAAACGAACAATTGGGAAAATTGGGATTCCGATACGAAATTAGAAACCCAAATTTAGATAAAATTAAAGGATACACACTCGTCGCGAGCATCGACAAGAAGAACCCATCGTACCTGCAAGTGCAAAACAATCGAAAATTCGACTTCAAAATCCTTAGAACCCACAGGCAGTAATCGAGAGGCGGGTGGAAACAAAGAAAGAAAGAAAGATGAGTTACCACTTGAAATCGACGCCTCGGACGGCCATGGCGGAGGAAAAGCTGTGCGGAAGAACGCTACGCAGAGGACGGCGAATTCCAAGATCCGACGGTGGTCATTTGAAGAGAGAAATGCTTGCAAGTTTGCGTACGAAGAGACTGAGATGAGAGGAGGGAGATTCCGGACGGCACAAAGCTGGCGAGCAAGAAAGAGACCGATGACACAGAGTGAGACAGAGAGAGTATGAAGCGGTGAGAGTGACGGTGAGGGAGAAGGACTGCTGTGACAAATGCTGACTTTCTTCTAACTATCATATCCGCACGCGCCTAAATTGTCAGAGTTTTTATTTATTTATTTTATATACGGAAACTATAGTGATTTTATTTAAAATATTACGAAAGCATACGATCACTGAGGAGATGCCATGGATTAGCTCCGGAGCTCCACAACAAACAACTATTGAAAACTAGAAGTTACACTTGTGAGGCTTCAAAACCCTGCGAACTAGCTTTAACGTCCTCAATTAATAAATCAAAGACGGAAGAACCATTGTGAGGGCTGCCAACAGAAAGAACCACCTACAACCAAGGCCGTCTCTGAGATTTTAGGGATTCTGTACGAAATTTATCAAATGGGTCTTCCTTAAGATATTTGTTTTAAAAAAGTATGACAATATATTGATACTAGACAACATTCACTTAAATTAAAACAAAGCCACTTAGTACTACGGTTTAGTGATATTCCTCTTCACTTGTAAGTGAGAGGTCTTATGTTCAATTTTCGCCAAAGGCAAATTTGAACTACATTATTGTTAGCCCATTGTCAAGCTTATCCCACTCCCCCACCCTCTTAGCATAGATAGTATTGTTTGTTCAAAAAATAAAAAAAAATAAAAACAAACTTTAGCACTCACTGATTGCATATTTACAAATGTTCTTAATGATAAGTAAAAAAGAGCTACAAACATAACATTCACTAAATAATTAAAAGCAGTTTTATCTTAAACAGCCAAACATGAAAAGAAAAAAAAAACATCAAACCTCCAACTTTAAAGTTTCACTTGAATGTATAACGTTGTTATATAATAAAATTAAGAAATTGCCGTTTTTCAGGGTGTTATTATTGACACTCAAAATATCTCATTGTACTCCAAGTTTTTACTTATAAGGAGTGCACAATGCGGTTTAAAGTGCGAATAAAAACAATTTTTTTTTTTAATATAGAACATTATTACATGATGTTAGATGGCAAAAATTTAGGGGCCCCGAATTGCAATTGTACATTTGGCTCCCCCTCAACGCCCCATCTGCCTACAACATGTCACTCTCTAGAATCATACATTGCCAGTTAAGCTGCAAAGCATGCTACATTCCATCACGAGCGGCTAAAGTCTCATATTTTTTGTTATAACTTTGTGTAAGGATAATGCTAGAAATACCAAATTTATAAGAGTAATGCTAGGACGATTAAATTGTAAACAAAATTTGCAAACTAAATGATACCAATAAAAAATGAGCATATTTATCAACGCTTAAGTAATAATTTAGTTATTAACTTCTATGTCATTGAGTTTACAAATTTAGTATCCTTAGCTTTACTCAATTTATAAGCCAAATTTGCAAATCAAATGATGTATTACCAATAAAAAACAAACACGTTAATCGACACTTAATTAATAATTAAATCATCCACAACCACATCATTTAGTTTGTAAATCTGATTTAAATTTTGGTCTCCTAACATTACCCTTGCGTAAAATAATTATTTATATGTTATTCATGCAAAAGTCAAACATTGTATAATTTTGGGTAAATTACACAAAACTACCTTAACTATAAATTGAACCACAATATCATACATCATGTTTTAAACATTGCAATGTCATACCTTATCTTACAAATTCGTTGCAATGTTAGACCTCCGTTAACTTTTTTGTTAAAATGGATTTAAAAGAGACACAAACTCTTGATCTTTATGCGGGTGAGAGGAATCATTAGGTTTGATGGGAGAGAGCTTGGAGAGGAAACCATTAGGTTATAGGGAAATACCCAGAAATATGATAGTTTCTTAATCTTGAGACATAAATAAGACATTTCAAATATCCATACGTCATGCACAAAAATCGAACAGAAATAGGATTTTCCTACACCTTGAAATGAATTAATTGCCCTTGTATATAAATGGATTATTTGCTCCCATTTCCTAATTTTTCTCTCTCTACTCTCTCTCCCTCTCTCTCCTTTTTCTCTCACTTTCTCCCTCATGCACTCTCTCTCCTCTTCTCACTGTGCACACACAGTGCACTGTTATCCCGACCAACACCATCCAAATCTAAGCCACCACCAATTTCATCTCATCCTCACGAGTCCAAAACATCTAGCCTTGTCACGAATCTCATCCCCGATCGTTGGGATTGAAACTCAAGCAGGACGCAAGTTTTCAGGTCATTTTTCGGCAACACGACAAACAACTGAGGCTCGAGACCACCACCAATGGACTTGCATCGAGGGTGGGAACAAAGTCCAGTCATTAAATGTTGGTGTTTTGTTGGATGAATTTTCAGGATTTGCCCTCTGTATGTACACGACATGCACATGATATGCTCACAAATCTGAGCTAACTCAAAAATCTAGATAAATTAATACTTAGAAGTTAAATTAGGGCTTGTGTTTCATGTTGGGGCTTATGGGTTGTGGAATAATTTTCAAGTTTTGACGTGCTATAAAACTGGGATGGAACAATTTCTGGTTCACGTGTCCAATTGCATAAATTTGTGAAATTTTTTCTGTAATGTGCATGTAGTGTGCATATGGTGTGCATGGCTAACTTTATAATAGTATTTTAACTCCAAAAACCCAGAGCTCACAGCTCTCTTTTTGAAATATAAAAAATGACGTCATCACCTGCGACGTCACCACCATATACACTATATGCACACCACATCATATCATATGTACATAACATGCACATGATATGCACAGAATTGGAGATCGAGCATCGAGCTTCTTTTTGCATTAATAAGAAACTTTAACGGCTACCTATTGGTATAATAGATACAATTAAAATATAAATGTTATGTATATAAGGTTATAGTGGTAGTTTGAAAAGTCTTATTACGTACATCAATCACCGCTTAGCCGTTCACATGGAAAACATGATACTCGTTGTCGTTATTTCATGGGCATGCATGATCTTTAACATCCTCTAAGCTTTTTCTTAAAAAAAATTTTGCCGAGGCCAATTAGGTTGTGGTCATACTCGCTAAATTTCAGAACAACATACGTGCATTATAATTAGTGAACATTCCCACTTCACATATTAAGATGTAGCCATGCACATCATATGCAACACCACATGCACATTACAAAGAAATTTTCACAAATTTCTACAATTGGACACTTGAACCAGAAATTATTCCATCCCAGTTTTGTGGCACGTCAAAACTTGAAATTTATTCCACAACCCATAGGCCTCAACATGAAACACAAACCCTAATTTAACTTCTAAATATTAATTCATCTGTGTTTTTAGGTTGGCTTAGATATGTGAGCATATCATGTGCATGTTGTGTACATACAGTGGACAAGTCCTGAAGAATTCATCCAACAAAACACCAACATTTAATGTGAAATCTCGTCCCCGGATTTCACTATATAAAATTGTGTATCTCGTACTTTGTATTCATATTCATAATTTTGACGCTTTCATATTTACAGCGTTTATTTTTTTTGATAAGTAAAAGGACAAAATTGCCCCTATTGTATTAAACGGAATTCTTCGTGGACGTATGTCGGGACCGGGGCGTGACAACTTTTGGTGGTATCAGAGCTTAGGTATTAGGTCTAAGTACCTTTGCCTGTGGATGATAATAATTGTTTCATGGAATTAGTATTGTCTTTGATGATATGGCTATGTTTGTGGTTATTCTTGCATGGTGAATTGAAGTTCAGAACTATCAAACTTAAGGATGGCTTAATCTGAAAATCGATGAAGTGTGAACACTATTCTGTGTTTCGTTATCAGGAAATTTCGAGGATGAAATTTTTTTTAATGGGGGAAAGATGTGAAATCCCGTCCCCGGATTTCACTATTTAAAATTTCGCATCATATTCATAGTTTTGACGCTTTCATATTTACGGCGTATATTTTTTCGATAAGTAAAAGAACAAAATTGCCACTATTGTATTAAATGGAATTCTTCGTGGGCGTATGTCGGGATCAGGGTGTGACATTTAATGACTGGGCTTTGTTCCCAACCTCGATGCAAGTCCAGTAGTGGTGGTCTTGAGCCTCAGTTGTTTACCGTGTTGCCGAAAAATAGTCGGAAAACTCGCAACTTGCTTAAGCTTCGATCCCAACGATCAGGGATAAGATTTGTGACAAGGTTAGGTGTTTTAAACCCGTGAGGACGAGATGAAATTGGTGATGGCTTCGATTTGGACGATGTTGGTCGGGATGACAGTGCACCGTGTATGCATAGTGAAAAGGGGAGAGACAGTGCGTGAGGGAGAAAGTGAGATAAGAGAGATAGGGAAGGAGACAGAGAATAGAGAGAGAAATAAAAAAATGGGAGCAAATAACCCATTTATATGTGGGTATTTAGTAATTTTGACTTTGTGTGTGGTGTGCATGGCTTGTGCATGACCGGTTTGTTCTATTTTTGTCCCAAGATTAAAAAATTATCCCATTTTAGAGTATTTCCCTAGGTTATATGAGAGAGAGCTGGGAGGGATTGCTACAGAAATTTCAAGAGTGCAAAGATAGACCGACTTTATAAAGAAGGATTGGAAGGAGAAAGGAGAGAGGTGGGTGGTTAAATTAGGTTATTCAATTTCATAGAGGTGGGTGGTGGTTAGGGAGAAATTTTTAAGTGTGCCGGGAATATGGTACGGTACACTAAATGTCATAATACAATTGGTTGGAAATATTTTTTTCAAATTTCTAACCAATTGTATTATTAGACTTAGTGTACTGAGTTGTGTTCCAGACACACTAAAAACTCTTTCGTGGTTTGGTTAGGATAGGTTAGGTGGGTGGTGTTTTTCCCTTCATGGAAGGTTAGGTTATTCAATTTCATAGAAATGGTCCTTCTTACTTTTGTATAGTGAGTTAGAGCATTCCCAATGGGGGCTTTATCCGTTATTAGCCTCTCCGCACGCACTAACGTGCGTGCGAGAGGTATTTTTGCATCATGGGCGCTATGCGCCCCTAAAGGTGTATTGCATTAATTTTTTTTCATTATAATTGTCAAGATATATT